GAAACGAATTGTTTATCGTTCGCAATAATAAGAAAAAATACAAATTTCGCAATTTTTCGAAATTCTTATTATTTTAGAAGTTATGGCTAGATATTCACTTTTTCTTGAAGTTGTTTGGATTTCAAACCGGTAATAACTTTCGCCCATTTTGCATTCAGCCAATTTTTTCCGCAAATAATTTTTAATGGAATGTGCAACAATATTAGCCCAAAACGCGATCTTAAAGCGGTTGAAAAGTCAATAATATTTTAAAATTTGTTATTAACTTTCCAAAAAAAAAATTGCATAACAAAATAAAAAATTAGAATGGGGAGAAATGGGGATCATTCTTAACTGTTTAAAAAATAGGCAGAATTGGCATTAGCAGTCGCGAGAAAACAATAAAATCCAAGCAATTTCGAAAAATGATATTTGCTATACCTAACTTCCAAATTAGTTCCGATTTCCAAAAGTTGTGAAATTTGTACATTTGCTTTTTCGCTGTGAACCATAAAAAATTCATTACACAAACTTTGCCAACTTCAAAAACACTTTACACATTGATTGTGTTTTTGTACGCAAAAATTAAGCCTTGTAGATAAACAATTTGAATAAGAGGGGTATTTACGTATATTTACAAACATATATGTATACATATCGTACGTTGAATAATACAGAGAAGTAATTCAAAATTTACTTTTTTGGACATTAATAAGCTCGATAAGAAGAATATTATGTTCAGTCTAACAGGTAACTAAAGTTCTCAAAAATGGCGAAGATAAGAAGTCTTTACATTTGTCTTTTTGATATACGAACTGTATGAATTGATCAAGCTTTGATTGCTTTTTCTCACAAAATTTAAATTTTCAAATAATTACCTACAAGTGTATTATTAAACGTGCGATATGTGCGCACATACCCTGTAGGAAATAGGAGCACTAAATAATGCCTTACCAACAACTTACACTTCACACCGGGTGGTTCCTACCGACTTCTCTGCCAAATCGTTCTTAGTTCGGCACTCGAAAATAACTTCAGCGGCGCGTTATTTTGCAATGTACAACATAAGCCTCATCGGAGGTGTTCACTTTGTGCTTTTCTCATAGCTGACATTGGTCATGATGACAATTTTGGTACTAAAAGCTAAAGGAAAACATGGATAAGCTCATAAGGTGTTTACCTACATATTTTCCCAGTGGGTAATTAAGTTCTTGTATAAGTGTGTTTATCATTTGTAGGGTTACTGTTTTCCACATGTCGATCAGATGAACAG